GGCCCCGCCTCGGCCGTCGCCGCCGCCGCCCCAGCCCGGTGTCCGGTGTCCGTGCGTAAAAATAGCCCGGCCCTGCGGCCAGGGCGCCGGGGTGGGGGCGCCGTGACCCCGCGGGGCAGAAGGTGGCTGGGCGCCCTCTACCGGGGCGCCGCCCCTTGTGTCCCCCGCCCCAGCCGCTGCCGCGCTGCGCTCTCTCGGGGCTTCCCCTTTCCCTCAGTCCCTGTTACTGCTTGGACCTCTGTCCTGTGCTGGAACGATTTTGCGTGGCTCTCGCCTCTCTCTTTTTTTTAATTGTGATTTGGGTGAAAGTTTACAGAGCAAACCCACCATCCACGCAGCAGGTCACATACACTTTGTCTCGCGACACTGATTACAATTTACTCTAATGCAACAGCTCCCCTCCCACTTCCTCCCCATAGTTACCTCTTCCCTGTGTCCGTCCCTTCATGCACTCCTGCCCCCTGAGCTGTCTCCCTGTGCAGACATAGTCCATCTATTCTCCCATGATTGTTCTCTCCAAGGAGTGTATCTATCTCAGGTAAATGTTCAGCTCATATGTCTGTCTTTTGTTTGGCTGGAAGCAACAGGTGTGGGTTCGATTCCAGACCTGAAGGGCAGCTAGGGGCCATAGTCTCGGTAGTTCCATCAGGCTCCATCAGACCAGCAAAGTTGGTCCCCCTCTTTTTTTTTCCCAAATGATTTTGAGTTTTGTTCCACATTGTTTTCCCTCTCTAACCAGGATCTCCTACATAGATCCCCCTCGGAGTGGTTGACAGTGGTAGCCAGGCACCATTTCCGTGTATCTTTGGTTTTCTTCATTCTTCTTTGCTCTGGATGAGGAGAGACCCATTGCTGCATCCAGGTGGCTGCTTGCAAGCTTTTAAGATCCCAGTTGCTACTCACCAAAGTAGGAGGTGGAACAATGTTTTGTGTAGTATGTTATGGCAGTAGATCACCATCTCTTTCCATTTGTATCTGAGCCCTTGTGTAAGACTTAAACCTATTTCCATGTCTTGCAGGTCATTATCTCTCACTGTGTCATTATCTCTTGGTCTGTCCCATCGCCCTTGGTCTTTATTGGTAAATTATCTCAGAGTTTCATGGCTCTGGCGCCTTCTGCCCTTCTAACTCATGTTTCCCTCTTATCTCTGCCTCATTTTTTTTTTTTTTTTTTGTCTGCGTTGGTCTTTGGTGTATTGTCCTCTCTTGGGGTCTGTACTGTTTCATTATCTCTTAGTCCGTGGTGTGTGTGCTTCTCCCTACGACTTCCCTTTTATTTCTGAATTACTGCCAGCCTTTGTCTGGAAGCCTTAGGGTCGCTGGGGTCAGAGCTCTTAACCTATCTCTGACCGTTAAAGTGTAAGTGTGTGTCTATCAAGTTCTTTGTCTTACTTTTTTGTTACTGTCACCACGTCTCTGTGGGCGGCCCACTACTCTCTCTCCTGCTGATCGCCCATCCTAGACATCTGGAAACCGCTGGCCGTGTGTGCCTTGCACCCTGTCTCCTCGGTCAGGGGTCTCCTCCCGGATTCTCTGCCAGACGCCCCAGACCCAGCTTCGTCTGAGCTGTAGCCCTGAAGGGTGCGAGCGGGAGGAGGCTGGACTTTCCCGGAGGTGGGCCGTGGAGACACCGAAGGGTCACTTGCAGGGACCGAAGGGCAGACAGACAATGTCCTTCCAGCCACTGGTGTCCAGTGACATCGCATAAAAATAGCCCCATCTGCGGGGGCTTGGGGGAGAAGTGGTGGGGAGTGCTTACCTCAGACTGCAGGGAGCAAGGGCCCGGGTGCCCTCTGCTGGGGGAAGGGAGAAAGACAAAGACACTAAGGGTTATTTAGGGGGAAAAAAAAAACTTGCCAAAGGTCAGCATCCGCTCATGTTGATTAATTTTGGCATTGTGGCTTTCTCTTCCTATGTACGTTTCCTTCTGGGACACAATGTCACCCTCTATGTAGGTCTCTGTTCCCCTGTCTATGTGGGTCTCTTCCCCTCTCCTGTGTCTCTGTCCCCCTCCAGGATATCTGTTCTCTCTCTCTGGGTGTCTGTCCCCCACTCTCTCTCTGGGTCTCTGTTCCGTTCCCCCCTCTCGCTCCAGGTGTCTGTCGCCCTCCCCCGGGTGTCTGTCCCCCTTTCTCTCTGGGTATCTGTCCCCCTCTCTCTCTCCAGGTGTCTGTCACCCAAATCACAATAAAATTTAAATATTTCTGTGTTTGTTGCGGCCCAGTATCTTCCATAACCCAATCCCAGCTCCCTCAGTGACCCTACGCCCTCTTCCTTGAATCCAAGTGGAAACGTGGTGGCATTTGACGGGCTTCTAACCGTTCCTTTGTGCCTTCAAACAAGCATGTCTGTCAACACCAGTGTCGTCCTCCTCCCTCCGAGGGTCTCCTTCACCCACCGGCTTGCTCTCATCCCTTCTCCCTGGGGCCCTCTCTCATGCTCCTACCACTTGGCCTGGAGGTGGGGCAGTCATCTTTCTTCCTCTTTGACACTTGCAGACACTTCAGCTTTGAAGCTCAGGGTCTTTGTGGACACTTCCTCGAAGGTCATTCTGTACCTTCCGCACACGCCTGAATGGTTTCCATAGCCATGTGC